GTGTTTTTCCATTTAAAATTGTTTAAAAAACAAAGTAAAGTCATAGAATCTTTTAGATATGACTTCATACGTTTCACTGAAGGCTGCAACAGAATGTCCAGGTATTCGGGTAAATTAGACTTAATCCCTGAGACGACAGGCCTACCGGGAGGATTGGTAATACTTTTATGAATTTTTGGTAAAAAATATATGACCGGAATGATAGGATGAGAGATATTTAGATATTCAAATTCCTGTTTAGTTAAAATATTTTGGTCACGGCCCTTAATTAAAAATGAAGTTAAAACCTGTTGTATTTTGGATGTTGGGTCGCGCATAAGTTTTTCATAGACTGTACAATCGTTTAGTTGTCTCATGGCTTCTTTGATATACATATCTTTTAAAATGACAATACCTCCCCCTTTGTCTGCAGGTTTTATAACAATATTTTCGTCTTTTTGTAATTGTTGTAATGCTACACGCTCCGATTGTGTTAGATTATCTCGATCATATTTGTTTCTATGAATTTTTTCTAGGTCTTTGGTAACTAGTTTTTCAAAAACTTCTAAAGGACCTGATTTAAAGTTGGAGGGAAAGAAAATCGAAGTTTTCTTTAGAGGAGTAGAAATAATTTTATGTGATTCTGATAATGAGGTAGCTGTAGGTTGTACATTATGGGGTTCTTCATCTTTATGTGCAAAAAATCTTTTAAGAGTTGCCTTTCTGACAAACTTATTGATGTCTATAAAAGCTTTAAAAGGGTTTGTAGGGGCAAATTTAAGACCTTTAGTTAAGACTAATATTTGAGTAGATGTTAGTGCCTTTTGGGATAACTTAAAAATACCGAGGTCATTTTCATTAGGTTTAATTTTTGTCTGTGTAGCCTTTCTCTTTTGGAGTCTTCTACCACTTCTCCTTCCTCTAAATTCAGACTTCGTTTTTTGTTTTTTGTAGGGTGTGGCGTTAGTGCATATGCGTTGTTTTGAGTGCTCAACTCTAAAAAATAATCCTCATTGTCAGTTTCTGAATCCACAGATAACAGTTGATATCTGTTGTTGTGAACATAACTAGGAGGGGATCTTTGGGCTTCAAGGTGTCTTTGTGCGTACCTTGGTCTTTGAGTTTTCTGTGGAATGTTTCTTTCATTTTGATACAAACCAGGAGAGTGACGGGTGTTATTGATGTGATTGGTGGTATTATGTGTCGAAGGGAGTGAATCGTGTAAGTGGTGCAGTGAGTGTCTGTATTGAATTTGATAATTGGAATATTTATTAGTAGCGTGTGATCGATTAGAGTGATAATTACGTGATGATGTGAAGGAAGGCTTTCTTGCAGGGGGGTGAGGGGGATATTGGGTTTCTCTTCTGGGTAAACGATGGTGGTGTGTTTTGAGTGTCTGATCATTTTGGTAGGTATTGGAGGATGGGTAGATTCTATTATCTGGAATATTTCTTTTGTGGTAGGAACGGACCTGGTTGTTAGAGTAATCTTGTTTATCACGGATATATTTTTTTACCTTAATATGTTTTGTGTCCAATTCCACTTTTTCAATTTTATTCTGTATAAGAATAGAATTTTGTTTAAAAACTTGTGTTTCTGTAAATGTTAACATCTTATCTTTTAAATCGTTTATTTCCATATCAAGGGCTAAAAGTTTTTTTTTTTTTTTAATAATAAGTGTATCCATGAGACCAAAAGTGCATACTTCTAGCTTATTATACCAGTCTCTCATAAATTCTTCGTCATCTCTATCTGAAGTAGGCTCTTTAAAAAGTCTTAATCCTCTAGGGGTTATTCTTTCTTCTAGGTATTTCTTTAAAGTGGCTAATTCCCATTTAAGTTTAATTTCCATTGTAAGTGCTTTCTCTAATTTTGTAAATAACTCCCTTTGGTTAAAATGATCGATCCTTGAATATGTAGGGAGGTTTTGTTCGGTATTAAAAGCATGATTAATATCAATAACAAAATTGTTTCTAAAATCGAAAATAGACATAATTGGTGAGTAGAAGTGTGGTCTTTAGCGTATAGCAGCAAATTAATAGGGGGTTTTGGAGGCAAAACTAAAATGATACGAAAAGAGAAAAAAAAAAAAATCAGCGCACTACTGCCACACAAATAAATAAAGAAGGCAGCACCTCTCAGAGGGGAGTCCCCTATAATCCCCTAAATATAAAAGGTAAAAATAAATAAAAAAAAGGATAAGAGTGCACCTAAAATGTATAATAAAACATATACACAGTATAAGATAAAATAATAAAAGTAAATATAAAATGGTAATGATAAATATAAAATGGTAATAAAACAATAGTCCAAAACACTTATCAAGAGTCCGTAATGGTGAGATCTTTTGAGGAAACAGGAAATCCTGAGACGTCAAATGGAGTGGAATCTTCACAGTGATGTACTCGAATCCAATGAAGAATATATGAAAGGGAAACAGAACTCCAATGGTACAGTATATCAGCGGGAATAAAATTCTAAAATAATAAAATAGCCGTACTCACACTCTTCAGAGCTAGATCCTAGCTCTGATATTAAGCGCGTGAAGTGGAACAATCCCCACTCAAGGATATGTAAAGTAGTGTTTGATTGGAGAGTTTCTTGCCCAAATTCCGTGTTCGAGTAAATATTATTCAACCCAAAATGAGAGAATAAGAATATAGTGCTCTCTGTATACAGTAAAGCAAAAGGATGTAAAGTAGATTACTTACATTCTATAGAGCAGGTCTATACTGCTCGGTATAAACGCCTGGGTGGTATAATCCCCACCTATGGATTCTTTGGGTTCCTTATGGGTGTAGATCAGGTGCACAAATAAAAATAAAATTATAAATAGAAAATATAAAAAGAATATAAAAAGAAATGGCAATAAAGTGTTCTATGCCAAATTAAATTCTTTATTATAAAGTAATTAAAATAATATGTAGACGCGTTTCGCCTCAAAAGGCTTCATCAAGTAGATAATAGTAAAAGAAGGGCAAACCTGACATTCAAAGGTTTATATAACATATAATAATGCTATGAAGATTTAAAATTCCCGCCAAAATGACGTCATCAAAACATTAATATTATAGTGATGTTCAAAACCAATTATTATAATATGTATTGGTATAATAAAAAGGATTATAAGATAGATGTATAAAAATAATATAAAAAACAGTCTGAAGTGCCTGAGCGAACTGATCCATCCTGTGATCTCATTCCTCTACTTTGATCTTATACGTAGTCATTTGCTGGCTAATATTTGCAGGATCCATAATTGCCCTGTCGTAATGTCACGGACAGATAGGCTCCAACAAGCAAAGACAAACACAGCAAATACTAAAGAACAAAAAGCGTAATACCAGACCTTAGAATGGCCGGATTAAATACCACTAGAATAGACAAGCCAAGGTCAGGGATACAGAAGACAGCATAAATGTTAGGATAAGCCAAAAGTGAAGGAAATAGTCAAAGATAAGCCAAGGTCAAAATGCCAGAAATACAAGAAATACAAACGCGCTCTCAGATAAACCATACAATGGAAACCACGACAGGGCATCAAACAAAAGGATTAGAGAGTTTAAATAGCCCAGCAAGGGCTCTAATTGTTTACCTGGTGATGCCAAAACATGCAAGCACGTTGATGACGTGATGACGCACGCACGTCCGCATCACCAGCATCCAAAATCGGTGATGTGCCTTTAAATTGAGACTTTGGAACTTTTTTTTTTTTAAATGGCACTACATCTGCTTTTCTCCAATCCTCTGGTACAATATATAAACATATTCTGCATGACAGCCCTCCAAGGACTTCTTTAGATAGAAAAAAATAAAATGGAGCTTTTAAAGCAGCGTACAGGTATGATATGCCATGTGCCATCTGGTCGTGCACAGTTCAAAGTCTGTTAGTTTCCTAGGGAGATGGTCTTTACCTCTTAATTTTTCGTCTTTACTTGGTACAGTTTTGCGTCTTTACTTGGTACATCTAGTTGGGTTGGTTGTCAGTTTGTGAGTATGTCTGCAAGCGGTTTGAGTGCTCCCCTGGAGCACTATTGATCCATGTATATCCAGTCTGTTGCCAGGAAGTTTTTTAGTGCGGCGGGGGGCAGGCCCCCAGCCATGTCCGGGTGGTGCGTAATTGGGGTAAGCGGGTTCAGTGAAGTGGTGAGCTGTCGGGCGTACCGCAGGCCATCCAGACTCTGGGGTGGAGTCAATCATGGATTGCCATTCGTAGTTCTGTCTAGGTGGTTCCACCGAGCCAGAGTCTGGAGGGAATTGTGCTTTGGAATTGCTGAGTTTCCATGGTCACCCATCTTTTAGGGCTCGGGCGTGCATGCCAATCCACTATTCTGAGCCGGTGCATTGCTTGGTAGTACGTTATCACTGATGGCAGCCCCGTGCCCCCTGCTGCCTCTGGCCGTTCCAATATCGTTCTGTGGATGCAGGTCGGTCATTGGTTCCACACGAACCGGCAAATGGCTGTCGATAAGGTCCGGAAGAATGCCTGCGGAACTGTTGTAGGTAGCGCCATGAAGAGATACAGCAGTCGTGGCAGTACGTTCATCTTGATCGCATTAATGCGGCAGAACTAGGTGATGTATTGCGATGACCAGCGCTGGAGGTCTTTTTGTAGGGTTGTTAGGAGGGGGAGGAAGTTCATCTGGTAGAGTTGAGTGAGGTCGTTTGGCAACCACGTGCCTAGGTATCGCAGTTTCATGGAGCACCAGGGAAAGGCGAATTGAGTGCTGAGACGGTTGGCAAGTTCTTCATTATCAGCATGGTTTCAGACTTGTCTAGGTTAAGTTTTAAGTTGGATACTTGGCAGTATTCCTTAAACCCCTGTAACAGGTTGGGCACCGAGATCAGTGGCTGTTCCAGGAAGAAGAGCATATTGTTCCCATAGGCCTCCAACTGGTGGTCTTTAGTGCCTATGTGTACCACCGTTATACCCCCATCCTGTTTGACTGCCTCCAGAAATGGCTCAAGAGGGCAAACAGGAGAGGGGGCAGGGGACATCCCTTCCAGGTCCCATTGCATACGGGAAAAGGTTTTGTCAGGGACCCTTTGATGTGGATCCGTGCTGTCGGTATTGTATATAATGCTGAGACCCAGGAGCGCAAATGAGGTCCGAAGCCCATATGCTGCAGCGTTTCTCCCACGTACGCCCAATCTACTGGGTCAAATGCCCTTTTCGGCGTCCGTCGAGAAGAGCGCAGTTTCCCGCTCCGAGGTCCTTGCGGCGTGGATGATGTTATGTATGGTATCGTCCTTTGCTTCCCTGCCTGGGATAAACCCAACTTGGTCAGGGTGTATGAGGCCCAGCAGGATCTGAGAGATCCTCTGAGACAAGGCAACGAGATCGATCGGAAGCTGGAGCAGTTGGCTGGATCTTTGCCTTCTTTGGGGATAACCATAACTATGGCTGCAAGGGAGTCCGCTGGGAATTGTCCACCTGCCTGAGTGTGTGAGCCTTTTTTGTGCATCAGTCATTCAGCTTGGACAAGGATCCAAGGGGGTTAATGATCAGACACCGTGTACTGGTCTCAAAATATCAGCAGAATATTTACATGTATATGTAAGAAGGCATGCCCTGCTTCCAGCACAGTGAATCAAAGGGGGCAGAGAAGGTGCACAAACAAAGAATACTGAATGCATTTTATTAATGTCCAGCGGTTTAAAGCAGAGTGTCATAAACCCTTGTTATGTTGAGTTACAGGATCAGGGATCTGTGCAGCAAAGATCAGTTTAACTTATACCAAAAAGGCATATAGTCTCATGAAGCTAGCCCCAAACCTCTGAACTTATCATACAGTCTTTCCTTGGTAGGTGAGTGGTAATGAAAGAGTAGGATGGCTGTGTGCAACTCTGGGACTAGAAGCTTTGAGGACATTGTCTTCCAAATATGTTAAAGGAACACTCTGAGCACTGGAATTAAGTTTTATATGTGCCAGAAGGACTGTTCATAAACAGTTTAACACCATAATCCAGTATCGCCAGTGATCGCTCGTCCCATCTTTCTGCTGCTCAGAATCTTGAAGAGGAAATATTGGCCAGGGGCGGCGCTGACTGACTGAGGACGTCAGATAATGCTCTAAGCCAGGGTTGTCCAACCATAGGTAAACCGATGGCAGCATTAAAAAATATATATTTAACCAAGGGTCACAGGCAAAGTAATATTTATTTTATACCTTTTAGTATTTGTTCATAAAGAACATTACATTTTTATGATTAAATACGTCTTACTGCAAAAAAAAAAAAAAACTGGTGAGAAAGTTAAGCATGTTTTGTGTGTTTGAATGTATGTATGAGTTTGTGTGAAGTGTTGGCATTTGAATGCAGTTGTATGTTTGTATGTACTATTGCTACTTGAAAGCAGTTGTACTTGTGTTTAGTGTTTGAATGTGTATGTATCCAGAGTTGGTGTTTGATTGCTGAGATGTATGCATATACACTGCCCCACACATACTCACTGAAACACACACAGATACACATGGACTCTTACACACAGATACACACTCATACACGCACACATTAACACAAACAGATACATATACCCACAGATATATACTGACATGCTGATTTATACACACTGGCACATACAGATACACACCGACTTATACACACACAGATACATGCTGACTCATACATACACACACATATACATGACACACACATAGATATACAGAGGCACAGATAACACATACACACACATATATACAAAGACAAAAATAACACATACACACACACAAAGATGACAATTTACTGATAATTATCAACCCTCTGCTTCCATACCTTTCTGTACTGTCCCAGAGTCAAATGGCATCTGACTGGGTCTGAGGGGAGTCATTCCAGACTCTAGGCTCTTATTCCTCTCTGGTCCTCCCTTCTCTTGCTTGGGCAAAGAGTGTTTGTAAGTTGTCTAAATCCTGTCCCTCTGCTGCAGCTTGTCTAATGTGGAAGTGGATGTCTACATTAGACCATCCAAATTTGGACAACAATGATTGACTGAGAGCAAGGGGAGGTTGGTCCAGTGATTTGAAGCAAAAGCCTATTTTCCTTATAACTGCTACATTGAGCTGTGGTTGCTATGGTGTTTAAAGTGGCGCTTTAAGCACATACAACTATAAAGAGAGAGGTCCACCTTAATTACTATTAACATTTTTAATTTACCCTTTCAGTACAAACAGTTTCATGATCTTTTTTGAACATAGGAAATAAATAGCTAGCCAAAGAATTTTCTACAAAACTGCAATTTCATGTAGATTGCCGTTTAGGGATGTTAAGAATACACAGTGGGTTCAAAACTAAAAAATGAAATGGTCAATACCGTGATGATGGGTATGTGTAAGGAATATTTGTGCATATTTGGAAATACACATTTGCATGATGACTTCAAAAATAAATATTGTGTGTAGACATAATTCTCGCATACAGTTGCCTGTCTAATATGAGGCATC